GACGGCCGCTTGCGCCTGGGCGCGAGTGAGGGGCAGGTTGCCGGGAGGAGACGGAGAGCGCTCCTGCTCGTCGTTCTGCAGAGCCCTTCAAACGGGAGAGCGTGGACGGGCAGCAACGCCGGCATGCAGCACCCTGCCTCGCGGTGCCGCGGGCTTCGACACGCACCTGGGTTTTTCTTTGTTCGGGTTTTTTTTTCCTTCCTTCCTAGCAGTTCGTGTTACCGTTCTGTCAATACCGACCTCGCGGTTCGTTGTGACTGAGGCTTGGCGTTGGGCTAGGCTGGGGCAAACTCGGGTGGGCAGGCCACGCCGCGCTGCCCCCCGGTGAGGTCGGGGGCCGCTCGCTCGCCCGCCGAAGCCTGCGCCCATCAGCAGCTGCGACAGTCCTGCTCCGTCAGGCCACGGAAGGACTCTGGTCTCCACTACCGTCAGGCTTGCTTTCTTAAGGACTAGGTTCATACAAACGTACCATTTTTATGAGCGATTAAAATTTCACTAAATAAAAAAAAGAAGAGAAGGTTTACCAAGTAATTATTCCCCGAGATTTCTGAAGGAAGTTGACTGCCAGGCAGCCATAATTGGTTTTTCTTTCAATTAATGCATTTTCAGTTAAGGACGATTGAAAAAAACCCTTTTAAAATAAGAAAACAGGTGGTTATTTTAAGTAGAGTCGCTGGTGTTTTAATTTTAAAAAACATGGCTGATGACTAATAATTCAGCGTTATGGATACGTTTGACCTTTCAGCGGTTTGTTTTTCAAAGTGTGCAAATATATACGATATTGCGAGGGCTTGCAATTGTGGCATAAAACACAGGTCTGCATGATGTATAGAAATACAGGATTACCTACCATTAGTTCCGTATGCCGGGCTCTTCTTACTCCACAGACAGAGGTGTAATAAACAGAAAGCAGTATGAAGTTACCGAGAGAAAAGCAGGGAAGGTTAAGAGCTCTGACACCTTCTCCTAGTTATTACATAAACTTGACCTAGAACTCCCTTCCCAGCTAGAGAAATTCCCACCACCATGTAGAAAAAAGGACAAGATTCAGGCTAATGAGATGACTAAAAGTAGCAGGGCAACATTTCACTCAGCAGGTGGACAGAAGAAAATGGGGAATATTCTAGAGCCAACTAAATACCAAACCCCGAAACCCGCAATCAAGAAAAATACGGGGGGGGGAAAGAAGACACTCGATTCCCCCATTTGCTTCTCACTGCCAGGCCTTCTTGGAGGAAGGCAAATACCTACACGTTCGCAGGTGAGGACAGCATCACAAACCACCCTCCGGAGGACAGGCAGGCAGGGCTGAGCCGCACCGGTGACTCCTGAGTGGCCCTCAGTGCTGGGCGAGCGCAGCAAGAGCCGTCCCCACAACAGCTTCCTCACGCCTGAGTTTCCTCTGGTGTTTGTTGTGCCATCCTATGCTGAGGTGGTGCCTAGGGCTCTTCCCATGTCCATTTGGCTACTGAAAAAACAAAATAATTTGTGCGTCACAAAGTGAATCGTGATCCACCATCCAGTGCTCTGAATCTGTTTACAGGGAGGATTTTTAATAGTACTTAAACAGAAAGAAAAAGCTTCTCCACACTCCTACTGTTTGACATTTTCCATGCTGCTATACACTTGCTCAACATCCTCAAGTGAGTAACCTCGGACAGCAGTCTGACAACGTGCGGCAACGTGCGGCGTCAGGAGGACCCGGGACCAGTACAGCACTGGGCCTGTACTACGCCTCCAGAGGGACGTGTTGGAGCGTAAGCAGCTCCGGAGCTGGTGCGTACTCCGACCCAGTGCTCTACGGCACCTAACGATGGCCTTTCCCAGCAGAACGCGGCTCCCTAGCAGGTGAAGAATCGCTCTTTCGCCTTCAGGAGCTGTCTGTCCAGGCCTTCCCAGGTGTCAGGGACCACAGAGGACACGGCAGCTGGAGAGACATTCCGTGCTCGCTTCTCTAATGCTCTGTTTGTGCAGCCCCACAGGCAGCCTGCCATTCCAGTTGCACCCCTGCTTGGCAAGGAGAGCTTGGCAACTACGCAGGGTGGACTTTAAGGAAACCTAAAGGTAAAGGCTGACACGCCTTTCATTTCCACCATCTAGCCAAAGACCCCTCAGCAGATGTCAACAGAGCCCTACAAGCTAAGTTTTCATAAGCTATTTTATTGGGTAGCCTCTGTCTGCCTCAGTTTACCCAGAACAGAAACACGTTACTGATTCTGCTGCCGTCCTGATTCCAGCTCTGTGTGAGCCAGCAGACAGACAGACAGATAGTATGCTATATTACCAAATACAGCATACCGTATTAGTATGTTTTATTACCAAAGGGCATAGAAAAAGATAAATGGTTACAGGTTTCCTGGTTGTTAGAGCATCAGCAGAGCAAGCTGGAAGTAGGTTCACCCCTGAGAGCACGCTGCTATGCAGGTGGCATTGTAAATTATAGCATGTTTCAATGAAAAGGTAGTGAAGCTGCGACCTCAGACATACCGACCTTAGTCAAGCCTTTGACTTGGAGAACCGTTCTTTGCACGGATGAAAGCCAAACTGCTCGTCCCCTGGATGAAGTTCTCTCTCCCTGCAAGAAGCTGAAGGAGCCACACATCGCCCCCGGAGCACAGATGGGTACTTCCACTTGACAAGCGGATTAACACCGTTCCGTCTGAGACTCCCCTCACCGCCCCGCTGCCTGATGGCAGGAACAGTCAGCCACTAACCAACACAGAGTGGGACAGCTTGTCCGAGTTAATAGCCAGTGTTATTTTTAAAAGGGAGGAAAATAACCCTTTTCTCCTAGCAATGGCCATTATTTTCTTTCCGTATCTGTTAGTTTGGAGTGAGGAAGTTAAGTCGAGTTCTCCGTGTTAACAGCTTGGCTTTTGGGTTCTCAGATACCAAGACATTTTTTATTTGTTTAAAATAAATGTTTGCAGGGGACTGTGGAAACATTTATGTTGGCCTCCAGTTTTCTATTAGCTTGTTTTTATATAATTTATAACTTGATTAAAAACAGGTCAAATACCCATTGAGAGCTACTTTCAGCTGCACCCAGGGTGTGCTCTTACCACTGCACGTGTGCTACTGGCCCTAATGTGGTGTTATATAACAATTGTGTTTTCTTTAAAAGAACAATAATAATAATTTAAAAATCCAGTTTCACAATATATTCTCAGTTAGGTCATCTGTATTCTGTTCTAACTATTTGTTTATAGATACAATAGTTCAAGTCATCGAGTTAATACAAACTCAGCGCAAATGCGTAAAAAAGCATCTCTGTATGCCAAAATGACGGATGCCGTTGGCGAACTCACCTGGCAGGTACAGTGAGCCAAGCAGCGAGTGGGGGGGAAGATGTGCATCACCCACCTCGGGAGGGGATAAACTCCATTTGTCTTTGTTTGCCCTCAAGTATGACACTGGT